ATCTTGCCACATTGTTGCAGTGATCTTATTAATTCACATTAAATAATTATACATACTCTAAAAATTAAATACTTAAATCCCCAAATTAATTTTACTTGACACACGTGTTGTACATGAAACGCCGGCCAGGTTACTTCGTGCTACAAATCACCTGACCCGAAGGCGATCCGAGTTTAGCCGAATGGCGCTTACGTAGTGCGCTCGACTCACTTTTTGATGGAAGAACTTCGGTATATCCAAGCAAATCAAATCCGAGGTTTTTATCTCGTAGCCAGCGCTCAGCTTCGACCACGTTTTCGATAGAAAAACTACGTAAGTGACTTTGGCGGAGTTTTTCCTTCTTATCTTATATTCGAGCTCAAAGCCTCGTACGATTTTTAGACTACGTAAAGTACTTTCCTGAAGTTTTTGTAATTTATTCGTTTATTTTCTAGAGTATTATTATTTTTTTTTTTTTTATTTTCTTCTGTCACGTCCCGAGCTAAGCCAAGGGTAATTTTATTAGGCGAATAATAAAAGGGAGGTAAAGTACTGATTTGATTTTACACATTGAGGGTTAAATTAAAAAAAGTTTTATCACGGGATGTAACATCTACCATCTACCATTTTGGATCCGCCATTTTGGATTTTTAAAAACTAACATCATATTCGTAATCAGCGACCCCAAAAACCCCCGAGTACCAATTTTTAAGCCAATCTGAATGATTTTTATTTTTTTGGTCGCCATTTTGAATTTTTTTAAAACTAACATCATATTCGTAATCAGCGACCCTGAAAACCCCCGAGTAACAAGTTTCAGGTGATTTTGGTAAATTTTTAAAAAAATCGTCCGCCATATTGAATCCGCCATTTTGAATTTTTCAAAACTAACATCAGATTCGTAATCAGCGACCCTATAAACCCCCGAGTAACAAATTTTAAGCGAATTTAAGCAAATTAAAAAAAAAATTTGTATGTGTAATAAAAAAAAATTTAGCGTTCGGGCGCCATTTTTTAATGAAAAATGAAAAAAAGAAAAAAAAACTACTGCATATTTTTAAAGTACAGCTATCGGGAATACGGTTTTTATACCTTAGACGATATGTAGATACCGATATAACAATGAAAATTGCAATAAAAAAAATTTCATAAAAAAATCTTGCATTTTTTGGAAAATTTCATTAAAAGAGGGGGTTAATTTAATTTTTTGGAAATTTTGACAACGCCATTCGAAAGAGCGACCCCGAAAATAGTAGGAAATGGTACTTTTGAAATTTTCTTACCTTTCTTTTAATAGTTGTACGAAGTTAAAATTCAAGTCGGTTAAAAAAGCACATTTGGGCGTTAAAGGGTTAAGGGGTAACACTACCCTAGAGTCAGAAAAAGAGACCCAGTAAAAAAAATTCGATACACAGACCGCGGAGTTCGTATACGAGCTCGATAGCTCGTATGAGAAATATGAGAAAACTCTCATACGAGCCTTTTCCGTAATGAGAAGTGTATAGATGCTTGTATACGAGGTGACTTTTAAAGCATTTTTCTTAATATAACACTAATTTAAAGTAAATGTAGATAATAGAAATGAATTTTCAAAGTAAAACAAAGCTAAATTTATAAAGGAAATTAAGTTTTAAGAAAAAAAGGATAATTTTGTTAGATAATTATATTATATTATAAATTTACTTTGAAAATTCATTTCTATTATCTACATTTACTTTAAATTAGTGTTAATTATATTAAGAAAAATGCTTTAAAAGTCACCTCGTATACAAGCATCTATACACTTCTCATTACGGAAAAGGCTCGTATGAGAGTTTTCTCATACGAGCTACCGAGCTCGTATACGAACTCCGCGGTCCGTGTATCGAATTTTTTTTACTGGGGACCTATATCTTTGATGATATGTTTTGAGAAAATGGAAACTAGAACACATACACGGAAAAAAATGAGTTTGCTATTTTATGGATAGCTAATTTACCATTTAAAATACATGGAATTTTGCTACTTTTTACAAATTAATTTTTTTTCGTTAAATATTTCATTTTACATCAATGAAAAATATATATTCTTATAGGAAATTTAACGCTCTAAAAAAAAGTTTTCTTATGATTTTTTGATAAATTATCTCCTTTAAGAGTTATTTAAAGTTAAAGTTCAACGCAACACTGTAAATTTTAAGATTTTTGTACTTTTACGGCAAAATTATTATGAAAAGATCCATATCAAATCATGCCAGGCATTCCGACGATATAAATTTCGAATTATTTTCGCAATGACATATTTTATCCTACTCAAAAAATAATAAAATGCGTATTTCTTTAATTTTGAATAGGATTTTGTTTGCACTTTTACGAATATTTTAAGATTTTATCAAAAAAATTACTTTTTTGTATTTTCTTCTATAAAATTGCGTAATTTTCATATTTTTTGTTGATCTTGGGGTTCATTCTTTACTTTTATATACTCTTTTATGTAAAATTACGCAAAATAAAAAATAATAAAAAACAAGTGATACAATTTCAATTTAAAAAAAAATTTTCTAAAAAAGACCTTCTTTTTTCTCTATTTATTTTCAAGATTTATTGATACTCATGAGTAGTATTTAACATAAAAATACCATTTTGTATTTTTTTGTATCCTTTCTTAAAAAAGACATGGAGTGGAAAGGTCGAATGTATCGAAAAGTATCGAAGTAAAGAATGGGCAATGAGAATGTAAAATCTTAATAGAAGGGTGTTTTTAAAATTGTTTGTACATGTGAAGGTGGCGCTGCAGTCGTATGTTATTTAAAAAGAGCGCGAATATATAAATTTTATTTTTGTTAAGAGAAAGTACTCATAATAAATCTTATTTTGCATTGTCAAAAAAAACGTCAACATTTCAAATATAAATAAGCAAATTATTAACTGAAAAAATTTGAATATTATTATTAATGAAATAATGGACTCGGACAATGGACATATTAAAACTAGCACCGTAGACGGCCGCTTGCGGCCGTCGGAGGAGCTAGTATTAAGAAAAAAAAATTACCTACTTTCAATTTCTTACTAAAAATTCTAAAATTTTGCAACTTTTCAGGTTTCTATTTTTGTACTATCAACAATGTTTTACAAAAGGCAAGAAAAAATTCTTCTACTTATTTTTTTTATATTGGAATTCATAAATACAATTTTTATGTTACTTTTTTAAGTTCATTAAAAAATATCCTTTTTTAATAACATTACAATTTTTTTGTTCATAAGAATTATTTTATTATATATTTACATTTATTTCAGAGGCAATATCTATAGAAGAGAAAAAAATTTCTATTTATAGTTGAAATTTTTCTTTTAATTAATCGACTCAATCAGGTAATAATATTCTCTCATAATAAGTTATGTTCAATTTTATTGACAAAAAATTTTAACCTTCGTTTAAAAAATTTGAACGTCTTAAATAAACTAACCGGGATAAATAACATTTTCGAACATAATCATTATCATATAGATAATTAACATAATTTTCGGACATAATGTTAATTATCAATATTCTTTACTATTGTCAAGATTTTTCAAACTGATGTTAAAATTTAAAAAGATAAGCGATGGTACGAAAATAGAAACCTGAAAAGATGCGAAATTTTTGAATTTTTAATAAAAAATTGAAAATAATTTTTTCTCTTAATAGATAAACAAAAAAATACAAAATGGCCATGTAAAAATTTATTTAAAAAAAATTATTCTATTTTTAAATATAATTTGATTTAAAAATGATAAAAAAATTGAGTCGTAAAATTCAATTTTTCGATAGCTACTTTTTAAAAATTAATTATAGAGTACGAAGCTTGAATTAGTATTAATTAATATTAACCAATTAACATTTTGATTTTGTACACTACCGTCCACGAGTATCAGGACGATTACAAGCGACTCTATGAAAAAACATGCCATCACTTTTTCAATCATATCTCGTAAACAAAAGGAGGTACAACAAAATCTTAAATACGGTTAGAAAGCTGATTAAATTTTGCGTAAAATAAGCCGTCTTTGAAGTCATTTACTTAATTATTTTTTAAGTTGTAAAGTAAGAAAGAAATAATAATATAATAATAATAATAATAATAATAATAATAATAATAATAATAATTTTTTTTTTTTTTTTTTACTTTTACTTTTTTTTTAACTTTTACTTTCGATATATCATTAAAAATGTGAAGCCGAGTTTCGACGATTGGTGCATTGGAATTTAACTGTGACGACTCGATTCTAGCTTCGCGTGGCTGCGAATGGGAGAGAAAACAGGGACGGGTTTATGCTGGGGACTAATAAATAATGATGTTTTACGAGTTATATAAAGAAACTCGGAAGTTTATCGTTCCCTCGCATGATTTCGTCCCTGCTTTCTCTCTCATTCTCAGCCGCGCGAAGCCAGGATCGAGTTGTCAGAGTTGAATTTCAATGCACTAATCGGTCGAAACAAGGCTTTACATTTTTAATGATACATCGAAGACGGATTAATCTTTCTTAATTTTCGAAGGCTTATTTTAAAGCTGAAATTCTAAAGAAGATTTCTGTGTTTTTAAAAAAATATTATCTAAATTTTTTTAGATTTTTGAAAAAGTTGAAGTTAAGAGACAAAAATGAGAAAATTTGATAATTTTTTTTATTTCTTTCTCACTCTACAACTAAAAAAATAGTTAACGAAATGACTTTAAAGACAAAGAATAAATTTTGCGTAAAATAAGCATTTTACGCATTTTACGCGTGTAATCGTCCTGATACTCATGGACGGTAGTGTATATTAATTAATAATATGTTTATCTAATTAATATGAATTAATTATTGTCCGCAATATTAATTAGTAATTGAGGCTCCGGATCTTAAAAGGGCACACTTTTACCATTTAAAATCAATGCTGTATGTGCCCTTTTAAGTTCTGGAGCCTGAATTAGCATAGTTATAAACATTTTAATTTAATTAATTTTAGTCACTTAATTAAATCTAACAAGAAGTAATCTATAATAATAATGAAATATTTTAAAGGGTTGTTTGAGTTTGACGAAAAATTTCGATGACATTAAAACAACAACATTAAGTGAAAGGGGAGCATTATTTGAGGCTTCAAGATGCTTAAAATGTGCCGATGCGCCCTGTCAAAAATCGTGCCCAACGCAATTGGATATAAAATCATTTATAACTTCGATTTCAAATAAAAATTATTATGGAGCTGCAAAAGCAATTTTCTCGGATAATCCATTGGGACTTACTTGTGGAATGGTATGTCCAACGAGTGATCTTTGTGTAGGTGGATGCAATCTTTATTCAACTGAAGAGGGGCCTATTAATATTGGAGGATTACAGCAATTCGCCACTGATGTAATATTTTTCTAATTTCTAAGAATTTTTTAAACAGAAATATTTAATCATTTATTCATTGAATATTCCACAGAAATTGTCGAAACACTGCAAGAATTTCTAAAAATCTAGAAAACGTTCGTAAAAGTATCTTTAAACCCCATTCCTGGGGTTAAACAATTATTTCGGATTTAGCTTTTTATTGTTTTTAAACAATGCACGGAGAATATGTTTATCCCGTTTCAATTAATTTAAATTTTTAAAAAACTGCTGGAAGATCTTATTTGTAAAATTTACTCCAAAAGTAGTAAAAGTTACCAGAAATACTTAACCAGAAATGTTTTACTATAACAAGTTGTTCATTTTATGATCATTTAGCTTCCTCAATATTATATATACCACTTGCTTAATTTTTTATTATACGGGTGATTAAACTTAAAATATCATTTTTGATCCTACTAACTTTGATTTTTCGATGTTCGATTTTGAACTTAACGATACTCTATTTTGGTTGACTAGAATATATGATGGACAAAAATAATAGTGGTCAAGCAAGTGGAAGCAAATTTTAATTTTCACCAGGTGAAAAACGATAGGCAGAAATGATAAGAAATTTTCTGTTTTCGTTTATTCTTTTCTCAAATAAATTCTTACAACTTTAAAAAGTTAAAATATTTCAAATTACAATAATGAATGTTTCAACATAACTTAAAAAATATTTGTAATGAGTTCTGCCATAAATTAATATACTTTTGAAGACCAAAAAGACATATGAACATTGAGGGACACCACTGAAATTTTTGAAAGATTTCACTGATAATTTTTTTTGAATAGTGAGAATAAAATCAGCTTATTTTTATAAGCAATTACAATCCACTATCAAATCTTCATTAACTGCATATAAGGAGTAAATTTAACACAAATTTATTTAAAATAAAATAATAAGCTGCAAGAAACAGAATTTTGAGGGGACACTACTACAAGGGACACCACTGACATTTTGCTTCATTTCTCATTTTCGAAAAAGAGAGATTTTATTTTTAAGTTAAAGTCGTTGCGGTTTTTAAAGTACGTGTAATAACTGAAAATGAGATACAATAATATTTAAAAAATAGGGGAGAGTCTCCAGTTGTGAGACGGGTTTCATTTTTGACCCGTAAATTGTAAACGGGTAAACGAAATTATTAATAAAATACACCGTTCGAAAGGTAACAGAAACACGCAACTTTTATTAAAAGAAAGTATAGTGTTTCGATGAACTCAAAAAATTTTACGATACATTTTCCGAGCACATCGCTTTTTAAAAAAAAAAAATGTCTCCAGTTGTGAGACACTCATTAAAAATTGCTAAAATTTAATAAGTTTGACATAAAACGTTATGTTTAGTAGAAATAATTAAATATATTAATAATATATATTATTATATACTAAATAATAATATTTATTCGCCAAAATATGACTATCAAATAAACACAATTTAATAGCTTGAACAAGAGCATTAAAATTGATTTCTTCTGAATCAATTGACTTTTTTCCACTTGACATGCCCAAAAATACTAGAAAAAAAACAAAACAACATTTAAATAGTATGCCTGCAAAGTCGTATTTTTTATGCTGCCCAGATGGGTGTTGACACCGTCTCACAACTGGTGATATGCTGTGTCTCACACCCAGAAATTGGCGCTATTTTGAAAAAGGAAAATTAAATTATTTTCAACCGTAGATTTGAACAATGCAATATTGCATCACAAAATATAAGAAATAAAAAAAAGAAAATGCATTACATTTACCTTTTCCAATTAATTAACTTGGAAAAAAAGTACTTTGCATTTATTGAAAAAAAAACGCTTTTTAGTCGATTATCACACACAGTGTTGGTATTTAACAAAAACAGTTTATATATCCGCTTCGGCGTACACGAAAAAGTTGGCTCATATAAAAAGAAATGTTTTTATATAAACCAATCGGCTTTTTAATATTGCATGTTAAAAAAAATTGACTGTCTCACAACTGGAGGTGTCTCACAACTGGAGACTCTCCCCTATTAATATTATGAACAATTTTTTGATGGGGACACCACTGACATGGTGTGCTCGACAAAGTGTTACTTCCTTTCTGCCACTAACCGTACAAGTTATAGATGTGATAGAATGTTGTAATGTTTTTTCTTTAAGAAGCTATACATATTACCAATACTATTAACGCTTAATAAGACAATTATCTGCACTAGGTTATTTAAATATCAGACATGATATTCAAAATTTGCGATAATTACTTAAAAATATGAAACATACGGACAGGCGATTTTGATTTTTTTAGCACTGGATCAAAATTATTCTGCTAGCACAATTACTATATAAAAATATAGACTCTTAGCTGTACAAAATAATTTTTCTGTATCCCTTTGCCGAAAGTACTGTCTTCCCGGTCTGATTTGGCTCCGGGAATAGAGACTTTTGTGGCCGGCTCGACAGACCCAACGAGCGCTCTGATTGGTTACAAGAATTTCAACACACGTACATGTTAGCATAGCAACCACACAGACACGTTACTTACAGAGCTCACGTTTTGAAAACAACTGACAGTCATCAAAATAATGCATGAAATTTCTTATTTTCTTTTATTTATTATTATTATATTTTGTATATTATTAAATATTTATTTGCAAAAGAAAATTTCTTGTTTACTATTTTTTAAATTTTACTTCCAATTATTTTTTACTTATAATTTTTTTTCATGCCCGCCCCGACCAGCTACACGGAGAAAAATCGTTAGCTATTTCAGCTAATTTTTAGCTACCTTAGCTAACCTTAATTGCTATTATATGGATAGCAATTATTGTTAGCTAATGCAGCTAATAATTAGCTAAAATAGCTAACTTTCTTTGCTAAAACAGCTAATTATTAGCTGCAATAGCTAAAAATTCGCTATCCATATAATAGCAAACTCATTTTTCTCCGTGTAAGTCTCGGCTTCGCCTCGACATTGCAAAAGTCGGGCGGGCAACTTATTCAGCTATTTTATTATTCAAACAATAATTATTTAACGTACTTTCGGCTGGGGATGCAGAAAAATTGTATACGACACACGGCCAGAAAATTGGATAACCTAGCGAGCGTGATATATAAAGCCTCGGCTTCGCCTCGGCCTTATATATCACGCCGGCCAGGAAATCCAACTTTCTGGCCTAGTATCGTAATATACTATTTCTGGTACTAAAAATGTGAGAATCAAAATTTTTATTATTAGGTAAAGTTCTGATTTCTTAAGTGCGGACAAGGGACACCACTGACATTTTGCTTCTAATTCTTCTGCTAAATTTTTTCAGAGAATTTCTAGCGACTAAGAATTATTAATTTAAGTAGAAGGAGTGATTAAAAAAATTAATTGACTTCAAAAACTTTTATATATGAACTAGTATTTCAGATTTTTGGGCAGGACATGAAAATGACATTTTAAATTTAATCACCCATACATACATAGAATAATTATTTTAAAGTATTAAGATAAAATTTCAAAAAATACAAAATTTGAAATTTGTGTTAAAAATAAAAATATCGATTAATTTTATAAATATTAATAAAACATATACTTCATTTATATACATGAATCTATTCGTTTTAATGGCAGGAATTCAATTTTGATAAGAATTAATAAAAATTTTAATAAAGAAAAAAGTTATTTCAAAAAATACAAAATTCGAATTTTTTGTTAAAAATAAAAATATCGATTATTTTACAAATATTGATGAAATATATACTTTATACATTTGTTCCTCTGGACGAAATATGTATACTATGTTTGAAAATTTGTAAAAATAATTGATTCTAAGAAGTGCGGAAATCGACATCACTATAAGGCTTCCTTTAAGAGGAAGCAATAAAAGTTACTATATATTTTTCTGCGTGTATAAATCCTTAATCCTCCTTAATATAAAACGAGTAGATATGCAAATTAGGTAAAGAGAGACATTCTTATTTATATTGCCTTTAGAGAAAGAGTTCTCTCTTTCCAGAGCCGGCGCACAGTGGGCTAAAGTGCTCTTTTTTGTGCCGAAATCGTAGAACTCGCTAACCATTTGATGTATTTGAACAACAAAAAAATAGAAATGAAAGCTGACATTCTATAGAATAGAGGAAAAATATAGAGAAAGAGATTAAAAAATTCTTAACCTATTAAAAATATTCTGAAACTTGACGTTTCATAAGAAATTTTTAATTTTTTGCCTATAGAGACCGGAAAAGGGTCAAAATAGCTGCTCAAAACAATTGACTCACTTGTTTTTATCTTTCTAATCACAAATCTCATGTAGTAACTAAGAAAAAAAATGGCGGAAGCAATATGGCAGCCAAAAATGTAAAATTACTTTTAAATTAAATTAATAACTTCTTTTAAAGGTTTTGGGGTCGCTGATTACAAATTTGATGTTAAAAAATAATTATTCAAAATAGCTGATCCAATATGGCCAAAGCGAAATGCAAAATTGCTTTCAAATTATACAAGAATCCCTCTTTAAAGGTTTTTGGGGTCGTTAACCCCTTCGCAGTCAAGACCAAAATCTCATAAGTGGGCTAAAAATGTCGACAACTTTTTAAAAAACGAAAATTTACGCAAACGCATACTATTGTATTTGAAGTCGCTGATTACGAATCCGATATCAGAATTTGAAAATTCAAAATGGCGGATCCAATATGGCGGACATGAAAATTAAAAAACCAACTGAATTCACTTGAAACTTGTTACTCAGGGGTTATCGGGATCGCTAATTACGAATCCGATATCAGATTTTAAAAATTCAAAATGGCGGATCCAATATAGCGGACGAAATTTTCTAAAATTCATCGGATTCACTTAAAACTTCTTACTCGGGGGTTTTCGGGGTCGCTGATTACGAATCCGATATCAGATTTTGAAAACTCAAAATAGTGGTTACTTACGGCCCCAGAGTTTACCACGTGGAGGTATGCGGTTGGATTTTACACTCCTTTATTTATTTTTTTTTTTTACATTTTTTTTGTTTG